TGCCAGAGAATATACCTTTTTTCAGAAATACTTTTTCAAGGATTGATATCATATGGATTTCTAAAAATCTTGCAGATAAAATTCTACAAATGGATATTTTACCTACATTTTTTTCTTTTTTTAAACAAGTTTTATTCAGTTTTCCACATTTTAACATCTCCTTTTAGTGAACAGCATGATTACAGGTTTCACATATACATACAAATATGACCATAATTACATATTCAATTTTTGTATTCAATTTCTTATCTTAACAATGCATGTTCTATTTTATTATATTCCAAATGCTTATCTCATTATTTAATTCACATATATTAACTTCATAATTATTATACTTTAGTACTTTTAACTGTCGCATTTGTATATTCCTCTTAAATTCTGATTAATAACACTCCTTCTATAAATTGGTTTCCCCCCTAAAATATCAGTTTAAGTGTGCCACCTCTAAGTTATATATTCATTAATTATCTCCCTTTTTAAATCCCATTAAATGTTTAACATTTTATTACCTAAAACATTAAAATTAATAATTTAAATTTAAAACTACATAACATATATAAATCAGATTCTGCATGGTTTCCCCTTTTTAATTTCATAAAAAGATCTTTCAGCCTGCATGCCATTCAGTAGATACTATGTAACTGTTTACTGCTAATAAAGAAACTGTTTCAACTGCTGGCTCTTTCTTCCAATATGTATTACTTTCAGTTCTTTACCTACTACAGTAAACATTTCAGTAATCAGATATTAAGTTGTGTTAAGAATTTTAACTTTAAAAGCCTCTAATGCTGATATGTATGCTATAAAAGAGAGTACCACATGCCTTCACCATTCATTTTACTTAGAGGCCTAAGTTTTTTGTTGCATGGAATAGAGAATAAAGTTAAGCAGATTTTGATTGGCTGTTGATATTACTATTAATCTTGCAACTGTATTACACTGCATGAATGGATGTATATATCCTAATAACTTATCACATTTGCGTAGCTTTTCACATTAGAACACTTAAACCTAGGGTGTCAATATGGCCTGCTGTGGAATGGGACCTTTAAGCTCCTACCCTTGGCTGCATCTCCTTCTTGAGGCTCCTGCCTCTGTCCATATACCTGTCAGATCCATGTATCTGCCATCCTTCAATGGAAGAAGATGGGGGGGGGGATTGGTACAAATAATCCTTTTTGATGTAACCTGAATATCTTAAACCTTATATTGAATCTGTATAACTTGCACATGATGTACAACTGGAGGACTGGAGCCAGATGTCTAGAAACTTGTCACCTCTTGAAGAGATAGCAAGAGGAGAAGGGACCATAAACATTCCAGCTCTGAAAGATACTCCCTGGGAAACTCTTCTAAGATACGTTCCCAGAAAAGGGGCGGGTGGGGGGGAATTAACATGTTGGTTCTTTGTTTGACTAAATCCACATCAGAATAAGGGGAGGGGTTCTAACTCCCTTTATTACTGTATGCCTGGAAGCATCTTAGATTCTGCTTTGACTAGTACCGGGATTACTTCCTTTCAATAAAGAATTCCTTTCAAAGCACCTAGCTTTCAGAAGTTCATTTTCAGTTGAAGGGGAAAAGTCCAGTGCTTACAATACCTCTAGCTTTCCTCCTCTGTTGACACATCCCCAGCCATTATCCTTGATGACTGGGCCTCTGCCCCTCCGCCTCATGCCCTTCGGCATCGCCCTTTGCCGAGACACCATTTGTCCCAGCTCTTTGTTCACATGGGGCAGTTAGCTGCCAGCCAATCAGGTGGTAGGCAGAAGTCATTATGTTGCGGGAGCAGCGTGCAATCACTGATCATAGGGCCTGTGGTGGGGGGTGCAGGAGAACAGTGGTGGCCCATCTTCTGAGTTGGAGGGAGAGCAACAGCCCAACTCCCCATTTGGTATAAGGCAGGCAGGATCAGGTGGGGGGTGGGGGGAGCAGGCCAACTGCATGAGCAGGGGTATGTGTGTGGTGGTGGGGACAGCAGCCCAACTGCAGTGTCAGGTGTGTGTGTGGGGTGCAGTAGCCCAACTGCAGTGTCAGGTTGTGTGTGGGGTGCAGCAGCTCAACTGCAGGAACAGGTGTGGGATGGGGGGAGCAGCCCAACTACAGGATCAGTTATGGGGGAGTGGGGAACAGCAGCCTAACGACAGACTCAGGTGTGGGGGGGAATAGCAGCCGAATTGCAGGATCAGATGTAGGGTGGGAGGAGCAGCAGGCCAACTGCAGGAACAGGTGTGGGATGGGGGGAAACAGAATATTAGTCTATTTGATTATTTTGTCTCATCTGCAAAGGGGGACTGTTTTATCTCCCCACCCTCAAAGTTCCCATTTCCTCTGTATATCTTGATGTCAATATATGCAAATTGAGGTTCCTATGGAAGACTTTGAGTTACATGGAGTGATAGAGGCTGTTTGAAGACCGAAAGGAAAATCCTTTGTAGCATCTTTATTTTTGCCTGAGGTGTTTACATTGCTGTGGCTTTGATTTGCCTCCCCTTTACATTTAACAATCCGTATTTCCTGAATAAACAAATGTTGTATCTAAACAGTTACAATAGTACTTCAAGAGAACTTAAGACACTAGATTCCTTTTTAATTTCCTAAGAGAAAAGTTTGTTTCTGATGTGTACCTCTATGTACCCATAAGCTGAGTGTAGTTGATATTTGCCTTGCTTCTAGTGCCTGTCAGGGAAGCGGGGAGGGAGGGAGGGGGGGAGGGAGGAAGGATAGCTGAGGGCCTGGGTGTGGTATTTGGTGACAGGGATCTTGGGTGCTGGGTGTGACCTTGGCAGCAGTGGATCTTTGCCAAAGGGATGCTTGCAAGGAGTACAATTGCAGGGGATAATTCCAGCAGTTGTGGTATTTATAGTAGAAGCTTTTGGGACTTCCCCTCCCAGAGAACCACTGCCTGGGATTCTGGCGAGAGGCAGCAAGTGACTTGCATGATGGTAAATATTCACCTTATGAACACAGGATTCTCCCCCCCCCCCCCCCAACCGGGGGAGGCCCCCAGCCTCCCCCTCTCATTGAACCACCCCTTGGATATTCATGCTCCCTTAAACACATATTATCCCACCTGTAGGTACCATCCAAGAAGTAATAGGTTGGAAAAAGAAACAAGACCACTTAAAACAAGCTTTCATTAGTCTTTTTGATAATTGTGTGCAATGGCACACAAGTAATCAATAGGGTTTTGGTTGCCATATTCACCAACAATCTAGGAAATCCAGGAATATGTCTTGTATTCCTCAGGTAAAATGAGGAATCAAGGCTTACCGGGTCTGAGGGGTCTGCCCATATTTCGTTCCTTTTTCTGCAGATGGTTTTGCACAATGCTGGGGTTGCTGGTATTGCGGAGTAGACCACTGGGCTCAAGTTGGCCAGACACATTGAAAACTTTGGATGTGCCTTCCACTGTCTTCTCTGCCCGCCATTTCATGCTACTCAGCAAACGCGCCACTTGCACATGCTCTGCTGATGGGGGATGCAAATGCTCATTGATTCTTTTAATTTCTTCTCCAAGTCTTTTGTGAATTCTGGCACTGCATCTATCATGCTGCTACAGCACCAAAAAGTAAGGCAAGAATCAGCTTATACTCAGCTTATACATAGAGGTACCCTTCAGAAACAAATTTTTCTCTTCCTCTCTTGTTTGCTCCAGTTACATCCATCTTGCAGGCAGAAGTCTTCTTACCAGCAGTAACACAACAGTGAGTGCTTGTTGTCCTCAATGAATGCAACATACAATATTTTATTGGCTTCCCATGTCAGTGTCTGGTGGTGGTTTAAGTTATATGGAATGATGGAGAGTGTTTGAAGACAGGAAGGAAAATCCTTTATAGGTGTGGATAATTAGGAGGAAATCTGGTATCTTAAATTCTCTTGAAGTGCTATTTTAACTGTTTAGATGCAACATTTGTTTATTCAGGAAATACAGGTTGTTAAATGTAAAGGGGAGGCAAATCAAAGCCAGAGCAATGTAAATGCCTCAGGCAAAAAAAAAAGGTGCTACAAAGGATTTTCCTTTCGGTCTTCAAACAGCCTCCATCATTCCATGTAACTCAGTCTTTTGTAGGAACCTCAATTTGCATATCTTGACATCAAGATATGCAGACAAAATGGGAACTTTGAGGGTGGGGAGATAAAACAGTCCCCTTTTGCAGATGAGAGAAAATAATCAAATAAACTAATATTCTGTTTCCCCCCCACCTCATACCTGATCCTGCAGTTGGGTTGCTGTTCCGCCACACACCTGATTTTGTCATTGGGCTGCTGCTCTCTCCATGCCAAAACTGATCCTGCAGTTGGGCTGCTGCTTCCCCCCCATACACTTGATTCTAAACTTGGGCTGCTGTTTCCCCCCACCCTAGAAGCCAGGCCACCACTGTTGTCCTGTGCTCCCCACCATAGCTACACAGCTCCTGCTATCAATTATTGCAAGCTGCCCCTGCAA